GATGATTTTGAAAGCAAGGGCTCTGAAACGTGGGAGTTTAGGCCCATGAGTCTCCTGTCCCGAAAATTTGTAAGGAGGTGACACAAAAGGGGTGGGGTTTGTAAGGTGGCAATATTTGCAACATAGATTTTATTTATTTATTTGTTTATTAAATGTTTTCTCTTTTTAATTTCTCAAATACACTTAGGGGAAATATAAATTAGCCTTTGAGATACAATTAGATAATTTAAGAAAGAATATTTAATTAAAGTCAAAATTATAGCTATAGTTTTATACACCAGTCTATGTACAAGAGGCACACCAAATAAGATTTGTCACGTGATTGGTGAGAACTCTGTATTTCTGTTAGTTTTCCCTGTCAGTGCCATTGGAATGACAATCAACACACCTGGGATCTCTCTACAGCAGGACTGTTAAACTCAAATCTACTTAGGCATCCAAATTATGAAAATGGGCACTTTTCCTTGTTGGGTCTCTGCAGGCCAGATTTGGCTGCTAGTTGGATATGGTTGTTCTACATAGAGAGAGCCTGTCTTTAGCACATGTACAACGTAGGTATGGTAATTTTAATTAGTTAACAGCTTCTACTTCTCATCATCATCATCCTCTTTGTTTTATTCCTCCTTAAACTTTAACTTTACAGCAGGTTAAGTTTAAGGAGAAAGGGCAATATTTACGTCATCACCTTCTTCCTCTTCTGATTATTCACACTAACTCCGCTGACTTGAGAATCAGCTCTGCGGACCAGTCTGGGGTGTAATGGACTCACAAAGGATGTCACAAAAGGTGAAGTCAGCCATGTTTGGCGCAGAGAACCATGTACTGCTTCAAAGATGGAGGCTGGCTAGTAGTAGTAGTAATTTTTCATGAATATCCTATTCAACCCTCAGGATTATAATTGGGATGTATAGAGTTAATTGATTTCTCAGACTGCATATTTGTTATTTTAAATTTATATATCATGTAATTAATTATGTGACCAAAATGCAATTTGTGGAGTTTCATATTTTGCTTTAAAGGTAACGGTAAATTCGGGAGATGTGAACCAGCGTAATTGCACACGATTATAAACCATAAGTGCTCTGCTACCAGTACGGACAGCTGATAAGAAACTGTCCGCCCGTGTCGCCGTTCGCACGAAACTCTGTAGCTGCAGCGACGTTCCTCCATTTACCTTAGAATGTCACCCTGGTACCCATTTCCTAGAGGCTGGGTGAAGCCCGGAAACCGCCCGGTTTCGAAAACCGACCGTGCTCCCGATTTTGCTTTGATTTGGGTTATGATTGTGATAACATGTGTACTATGAATAATTAGAGAATCTTGATAGCCTTGTGTCATTAGCGCGGTTGATTTATTGTGTCCTGGCTAGAATACGTGGTTTTTTTCCCCCCGGCCAATCCAGTATCTTGAGACACAAAACAGCAGAGAACACACCAATACGTCCTGGAAAGAAGCTCTCTCTCTCTCTCTCTCTCTCTCTCTCTCTCTCTCTCTCTCTCTCTCTCTCTCTCTCTCTCTCTCTCTCTCTTTCTCGTTGTACCCCACCAGGAAATCACACCCGCGACCAACACCCGGTGACATAAAGAGCCAACATGCGGATGAGGATCACCCGCGGAGAGGCCCCGAAAACCCCTTTCAGTCGTTAGGCCATATTTATGGCCCGTCTTTTTTAGGGCCCCCAGCAAAAACCAGGGTAGGGCTTCAAATAACGAAAAATTGTATTCCACATGAGGACAACTGACTACTGATAATTCAATGGAAACAATGTTCCCAAGTTCTAGAAGAAGTAGTTGCAGCTAATTGTAGCATAGCAGCAACAATAACAGCAGCAATGGTTACAGGATAATAATAATAGCCGCCGCAGCAATAGTTTAGTTATGAGTTAGATTATCTTCACAGCACTCCGGACACGTCCATAGGCGCTCAGATTTCCCTCTCAACATATTCATCAGCGGCATGCGGTTAATAGCACCAGTCTTATGTTGGTTAACAAGACTTCGTGTACGTGCTTCTCATGCTTTGCTGTGCCAATATTTACTCCCAGTTCGCGTATTCTTAGCAGTGATGTGGACACGTTGTTTCCAAAATCCTCTAAACGCCCCATCTCTCTAAGGGCAATGACAATGTCTGCGTGATCCATGCGTCGGCCATCTTTAATTAATGCACCTGTCAGTCTATCAGCTCTCTCATTACCAACAACGCCTGCATACCCTTGGACAAATATGAAATTAACTGCACACACAGGAGAAGTTTGAAACGACTCAAGCCACTGTCTGCGTAAGTAGCCTGCCTCGACCCGCCGGATCATGCTTAAAGAATCACGCAGCACCCACACGCGTTAATAGTTCTGTGATCCCAGCCACATGAAAGCCCGTGTCACCGCCATCACCTCCATCGTCATGTTGCTGGTGGTCATGGAGAAGGCACCGCTGGCTTCCTGAACTGTTCTGCCTGAGGAACGAGCTGTAAATGCCCATGCACTCTTATGTCCTCGTATAACGGACCCGTCTGTGAAGATCGCCACATATGTCTCATCTGACTTGTCACTACATTAAACCCCCTAGCAGTAGAGCAGAAACTCTCTCTCTACCAGCAGGTGACATCTGCACTAACTTCAGAGCTGAGGCAACTGCCCTCCTTTCTGCAGTCCAACATCTCATCACTCAAGAACACAGAGGGCACAAAATTGTTATACTTAGTGACTCATTGTCTGTTCTCCAAGCACTATCAAGCAAAAAACAAGACAAACTAATTGCAGATCTAAGGACCAACATTGGCTTACTCTCCAGGGAAGCAGAACTGGTCATGCAGTGGATACCAGCCCACTGTGGTATTCAAGGAAATGAGAGAGCAGATGAGTTGGCAAAAGCTGGGAGTAATCTTCCACAACCTCATCCACCACACAGCTACAAGGAAACCAAAACAGCACTAAAGCAGTCTTTCAAGCGGGAGTGGAGAAAGCAGAATAGAGATTACAGACCAGAGAGTGACAGCATAAACAAACTCAATAGGAAAGAACAAACCTCAATTTTTAGACTTCGGACTGGACACTGTGGTCTTCGAGCACACCTGTACATGATAGGCATACAATAATCTGCTGCCTGTGATTGTGGAGCAGAAAGACAGACCCCTGAGCACATACTGCAGTACTGCCCTTACCTCTCCCAGCAAAGACTGTGGATCTGGCCCAGGGGATCCACATTGCGAGAGAAGCTATGGGGAACAGGTGGCGACCTTAACGCACAATCCTATTTTTGACCCAGACGGGACTCAATGTGTAGCATGACTGATGTCGAACGCAGAAGAAGAAGAATGACTTGTCACTGATAAGCACGCATACCTCGGCATTGACAGCAGCTGGATTCTGTTTCTGACAACTCCTATCGAGCGTCACGACACAGGAGAATGTGAGATTGGGCGCTTTAGACGCTGGTATCCACTCCTCACCTGGATGGATGGATGTAAGGCTACAGACCTGCATGATGTCATCCTCTACCCTACCCAGCCATGAGTTGCCTCTTTTAAGCCTATTGCCCTTTTTCTTGAAGAGCATGTGGTGCTACGGGTACTTCAGATCTGAGCTTATCTTGAGATATACACGAGCCCTCCAGATCTTGATCCTGTAGTTCATGGTAGGGAAGTCAAGAAGGTACCTCATTGCTACACAAGAGGTGTCTCCAGTGCACCCTAGAAAAATGCGCATTGCTTTATTTTGCACCTTCTCAAGTCTTTCAATCAGAGTATGGTTGACAGTGGGGATGGCAAGAGCTTATTCGATGGTGCCGCAGTTGTAGCAGAAGCAATTGTAGCAGCAGCTGTAGTGGAAGTGGTGGTGGTAGTAGTCGTAGCTGCAGCAGAATCTACAGCCTCGGCAGCAGCAGCAGCAGTAACTAACTCGGTCAATTAGAAAGCTCGATGTACTAAGGGACGTTACCTCATCACTTGAATAACACGTTGTTCTGTAAAACCAGTAAACTGGATATTTAAAGGAAATTGTCAACAGTAATGTCTTTAATTCTTCAATGTCTAGCGAAAGTCTTTCGCCATCGATGCTTTCAAATGTCACATAAAATGCCAAAATGGATAGATACCTGCCTATAATGCATTGAGCAAATATCAAGCATTTTACGTTGAGTCCTGCTGTTCACCAGCAGTAACGATGGTTTTCGTTTGTCCTTCTTTGCTAATTCGTTACGTCCTTCTTTGCTAATTCGTTACGTCCTTCTTAGAACGTAATTTTTTGTTATTCGAAGCCCCACTCTGGCTTTTGCCAGGGGCCGCAATATAGGCAGGCCATCAATATGGCCAATTGTCTGAACGCGGTTTCTGGGACCTCTCCACTGTGATCCTTATCCACATGGTGGCACTTTGTGTCATCGGGTGTTTATCGCATGTGTGATGTCCTAGTGGGGTAGAAAGTCAAGTCATGTCGTTTGTTCTATGGATAGCTGCCCTACTGGGAAATTCTATTGAAGAGGGGAAGCAGCTCCCACTGCACCCCTTACATTTTTCAAAGTAAATGAATAAGTGCGGATGTCAAAGAAAGACCGCACAGGCTAGACAGAAATATCAACTGTTTGTTTCTTCTCACTGGAAGAAAGAATTTGAACTTAAATGACACATTTCATCTTCTCCCTTTTTTCTCTCAATGACACAGTGGACAGTCTGAGAAATCAAGGCACCAAATGCTACACCAGGATCCAAATCTGTTGTCTATCCATGGAATCCACAAGGTAAAATAAACATGCAACACTTCCTAGCTGCACAGAACCTGCTATCGGCCCTCTTGAGCGGCGCTCCACCTCGTACATATTCAACAGTCAATCCATTCCTGTGTCGACCTGGAAGCCAAGGTTCGGTACCGTCAGAACCCACGAGCTTCTGATCACAGGTGAGCGTCTAGCCGCTACACCACGGCGACTTCCAGCGTCAAACGTTATTATTGTATTTGTTTCGTGTATTGTTATCAGTTAAAGTTTTTGTAAACATATACCCCAGTAATGGCCGCTCACTTCAGCGGAGTTCTGCAACTGACGGACCTGGATGACTTTATAACGCCGTCCCAGGTCAGTTTCTTCTTCTGTCAACTTTGGTCAGTAGAAAAGTGATGTCAGACTAAACAGGGTTGGAATACAGCCACGGTTGTTTGCAATTTAAATAAAAACTATTTTGCGTTGAAACCGCCGTACGTAGCGTCATTAACATTTTTGTGAAGTCATTTATTTGTCATCCTCATCACAGCCGTTGTTTTGTTGCGAGTAGCAGTAGCAGTGTGGCTGTAGCTAGCGGCTAGACGCTCGCTTGTAGATCCGAAGGTCGTGGGTTCATGTCTTGACGGTAGCCGGACTTGAAAAAAAAAATTACTTTGACTCCCAGTCACCTTAGCCTTGAGTGGGTACCAGGAACGGCTATCCTCTGAATAACGGTCCTAAATTATCGAGGCGGAAAATATACCCTAACAGCCTCAATCACGTGTCAGTTTTGCACTTCCAGGGACTATAATGCCACCGCCGAAATGCAAACTTCCGGCAACTTCTGCCACCGTCGAGAGTATCCCCCATGCCACTGACACAGCGTCGATTGAGTCTAAACTAGATGGCTAGGACTCCCAGCCATCTAGTTTAGCCCCACCCCACGCGGCGTGAGCGGCGTGGGGGATACTCTCGGCAGTGGCGGAAGTTGCAGGAAGCGCGCAATTTAAGACGACGGAAGTGCGCAATTGAGAGGTGACTGAGGCCCTGTTAGTGTATATTTTCCGCCTCGATAATTTAGGTCCGTAATTCGGAGGATAGCCCCAGGTACTGTCCTGGAAAGTAAAAGTAGCTTGCGGGATGTCGACCAGATCACCGACCAAGTGCCGTTTGATCTATACAATATAGGTCTAGCCCTATATGCCCAATACATCTGAAGGTATGGAAAAAGATCCTTTACTTACTCTGTTCATTTCCTATTGCATCATGAGCCATAATGAATGTCTTTTCTCACCAGGAATGCATAAAACCAGTAAAAATAGACAGAACAGCTGGGAAAGTTGGAAAAATACGAGTTGAAGATGACGGTAGATACATAGAGATATCTAAGGTGGGTACATTAGTCTTGGTTGGCTTTGTGTGTCACTTATTTTGTTGCTGTTCAGGCAACTCCATGTTATTTATACGAGATAGGGGTATCCTCTATCAGAAGAGAAGAGGGAGAAAGAATGCCTAACGAGCATGTCGTTCGAGGCAACTAATTAGGGATGTTTTCTTCAAAGTGAGAGTACATCTGCCTGAGGTGCAAGGAACCACCATTCTCCGCCATAGATTAGCCAGATCTGTAAAATGGACGTGCACACAAAAACAACTCCTGGCACAAAACCAGTCCAGAAGTTGATGAACGACTAGAACTTTCTGCCGGAGTTTACAGCGGTGAACGTTTTGAAAAAGCAGAAGAAGAAAAGAGAGGTAAGGTGCCTCCTTCCCTTCATTAGCTTACGGAACACTCTTAGGCAAGATGGAGTACCTGATCAGCTTTGCTATCAAGGTAACATTAGCCAGTCAGAGCAGATGATGAATTGAACTTGAGAGCAGCCGAAATATAGTTGTTCGTCGTGGTCTCAAGTTTTCCAACCGTAGGCAGAGGATCACACTGAAGGGGCAATGGCTATGATCATGCGACCAGTGTAGTCACTGCCAGGAATAAAAGAAATGGCAAACTACCTTCTTCAAGGTGCCAGAAATGGTCATGATTTCACAACTTAAGAACTCAAGACATAGTTTTTGAGAAGAAAGCAAAGAGTATCAGATAGTTATAGAAAAACAAACAAAGCAGTCCTTTTCAAGACAGATGAAAGTCATAAACTTATTAGAACAATTAGATGTAGATGGTCAGTGTTGTTGTTGTTGTTGTTGACATTTTGAGAAGGAATGGACTCAAGAACTTGGTAACAACAGCAAAATCGAAGAAAAGAGAGCAAGAGAAAGGCAAAGAAATAAATACCCGGGTGACCTGTTGTTCGTCCATTTTTCTGAAGTTCAGTCCTGTTCCACAACTGGAGTTTTGTATGCGCATCCATTTGACATGTCTGGTTTATTTGTATGCAGACTTTTGATTCCTTGCCCCTCTGGCAGATGCATTCGGACCTTAAGTGAAACATCCCTAATTAGTTGCCTTGTACGTCATGCTTGTTAGGGGGCAGTTTGGTCTGTTAATTTGCCCCCAAGATTGGGATTCTGGAACCCGCAAGGGGAGGTCCGGAATGAATAAATACAGAATTGACATTCCTGAACTTTGGACATTTCCACAGCTTAAGAGAGCAGTGGAAGTGTAATAGTTCGCATGACTGACTATGCCAGTTGATCATGTGGTCGAATCTCTATGATGGCATGGATTTTAAAATAAAATTACCATAATCATTGACGTCCAGTTCAGCGAAGTGAAAACTGGACACACAGGAAATATTCCGGACAGTTTTTTTCTTTGCTTTCCCCCCATCATTGGTTTTCAGATGATCAAGCCACAGATCTGTAGGAAGTATGTGGTGTGATGCATGTCCTCTATTGTTCCATACAGCTGGGTTTCCATTGGAACGCTAATCCGCCAAACATGGAATATCCCTACTGCATATAGAGAGCCTATCTTTAGCACATGCTCAGTGTTCTGTGGTGCCTGTCCAAACGGGCAAAGTTGTGAATCCCTAGTCTTGAACTTCTTGTACATATGGCTGCAGAGTCTGCTGTGTGCAGTATGCAATCTAATTATAATGCATACATTCTACATTGCCTTGATCACATTGAATACTAACTTCTTCTTCGCGTTAACCAGCTGTACACTCTGGTGCAAAGTTCTGGTTGCTCGTCCACTACTGAACTGCAGTCCTGCTCCAGAACCTGAGTGTTGCATGTGCATCAGTTTTAAAGATCTCATTCTCTTGAATACAGACTGTTGGTTCCTTGCCTCTCCGGCAAATGCACTCTGACTTCAAAGGAAGCTCCCCAATTAGTTGACTCTTACATGCTTTTGGGGAGGCAGTGGGTCTATTCTTGTTTTCCCCACAATCGGGCCCCAGAATCCACATGGGGGACTAACTTCTTCTTCTTTAATTCTCCCTCGAGTGACCTCATCAGAATGTTGGGGAAAGATGTAAGGATCTTTTATGTGCTCTTTCTAATGCAGTGCATTAGATGATGATCTTCATTTCTTAAAGGTTGTTCTTGATTCTGCTGTTTCATATTTTGCATGGTGTTCCTCCTGCTGTGTGTTCATTATATTCTTCAGTGTAGCTGTCAGTGGCAGTTGGTACCATAACATTCTCATTAGATGGCCAAACCATCTCATATTTTGCTCTTTAATTAATTGTATGACTGAATGCTGTCATGTCTGAAAATACGGGGTCAGCACTTATACAAACAATTTTGGTGTGGAATAGTTTTTTTAAAAACTTAATTCCCCCCCACTTTCTGTTTGTAAAGGATGGAAAAGAAACTCCATTGGAAAAGGCTAAAATCACATTAAACGACTGCCTGGCATGTAGCGGCTGCATCACGTCAGCCGAAAGTGTTCTGATCTCACAGCAGAGTCAGGACGAGCTCTACAGGGTCCTTGGTGAGAACTCCGCTCATGCACAGGTGAGTTCTTTCATATTGAAATACAGGTATACCTTTTTTCCCGGGCATCTGCTGATGCAGAGGTATCACACTTCTTCCTCTCCTGTGGGTTCCTGGGTCCCACTGTGTGGAAAACAACAATAGACCCACTGCCTCTCCAACAAGCATGTTGTAAGAGTTGACTAATTGGGGGCTGTCTTTGAAAACTGAGTTAATCTGCCTAAGAGGCAAGGAACCAATAGTCTGCATACAGATATGTCATATCTGTAAAACAGATGTGCACACAACTCTCAGGTTCTGGAACAAGACTAAGGTCTGGAGTGGATGAACAACCAGAACTTTCTGCCAGAGTATACAGCCGGGGAACGCGAAGAAGAAAAAGATAGATCTTCCTTGTTCATTTGCACAATGAAAGAAGTTGCTGTATTTTCAGTATTTAGGACAATATTTCCCCCAAATTTTGTAAGCTAAAATTGAAGTTGGTCTTACACAGAAGATGTTTACAAAAAGGGTGGAATTATTTCTACATTGGGGTGTCCTGTGCACAGAATGATATGGTAATTGCATTTTAATGATATTCCTTCATCTTATGCATTCTCGCTCAAAAGGGGGGTGTGGGGGATGCTACATTGGGTTGTGGTTTACAGCTAGACTGTGATATCTGCACATTTAGGCCCAACACATGATTTAAGTAGACAGTTACTCACCTTTTACATATTCTTGTTAAGGGATGGAAAAATCCCCCCCCCCCCCCCTTTCCTATTTTCTTCCCCAATGCACACAGATATGTAAAGTAAAGGACCCTTTCCCACACCGTCAGGCATATAGGGCTAGACCTGTATTTTATAGGTCAGTCGGCACACGGTGGGTGAGGTCAGCATCATCCCAGCCGCCTTTACTTTCCAGGAATGTATCTGTTGTTGCCCATTAAGGTTGGATTTGCCTCGGCGCCAAGATGATTTTTGAAAGAAAAAAAATGTCTCACAGATATGATGTGATGAAAATTCTAATTTTCCTCGACAGGCCGGTGAACCAGATAAAGAGAAGCTGGTTGTGGTTTCCATCGCTCCACAGGCCAGGGCCTCTTTAGCAGCAAAGTTCAAACTTTCTACCGAATGTGCAGCAAGAAAACTGACAGCATTTTTCAAAAGATTGGGTATGTTTTTCGTTGTTATGTGGACAGTTTGTCTACATTATTTTACGCCTTGACTTGGAATTATGCCAGATATTACAACTTCTTTGTAGTTTTCACAAACAATGGTGCCTATCTCAGTATATAAGAGTTAAAGTAAAAGAACTTCTTCTTCTTCTCTAGTCATGTTTTGCCTTTCAGCTCCAGGTTTTGAACAGGCATCAGGTACCAGCCTTAGTATGTGCTACCTAGATGCTGGTATTTATGGCCTTGGATATTCCATCTGTCCATCACTTGCATGGTCGACCTCTGGTTCTGCTTCCATTATGTCTGAGTGACAGGTCTCTGTGTGGTGCATTGTATGGTGGTAGTCTTGATGTATGTCCGAACCATCTGATCTGTTGTCTCTTGATATAGTTTAGTACTAGTTCTGTCCAAACTTTAGAAGATACATTTAACCTATAAATGTAGTAATTTTGAATGCCAAGAATAAAGAAATTATGATACATATGTATGTATGTATGTATGTATGTATGTATGTATGTATGTATGTATGTATGTATGTATGTATGTATGTATGCATGTATGTATGTATGTATGTAAGTTGTACCCCATTAGGACATCACACAAAGCGATAAACACCCGGTGAGCAGAGTGCCTCCATGCGGATGAGGATCACCCGTGGTGAGGTCCCAAAAACCCTGTTCAGTCGTTAGGCCATTTTTATGGCCCGGCTATATTTAGGGCCCCCGGCAAAAGCCAGAGTGGGGCTTTAAATAATGAAAAATTGCATCCCATCCAGGAACGACTATCTGTGTGATGAGCAGTGGCAGTGTGGGTAAATCAACACTTTATGATACATATGTGCCAGCCAACAATAGCAGCTCTTAAAAGGTTGAGCAAAATCTGGAATTCTAAATGATATAGTTTAAAAACCAAATTACACATTTTTAATGTTACTATTATTTCACTCTTATATGCCAGTGCAAGTGGGAGAACCACTAAAGACAAGGAGTCTGAGTTAAAGGCATGTGAAAACAAATTCTTCAAGAAATTTAATATTGAAGGAGATGCATTTAGGAAAGGTGAAGAAATAAGAGAAAGGTCCGGACAACCACAAACAAAGTGGCAGTATATTGGGCACATCCTGAGAAGAAGCAAGCAGAGAATCACAAAGTAGACGCTAAAATGGGAAACAAATGTTTTGAGGAAATAAAGATGTTGAAGAGAAATCCTACATAAACATTAACAAGAGAGGCCAAAGATGCTAGACTAAATTCTAGCTCGATATCGAAAGGACTGCATAGGATAGAGTGGAATGTCCCCGTGTGGGTTCCGGGGGGCCCTATTATAGGGAAACAAGAATATACCCACTGCCTACCCAAAAGCATGTCGTAAGAGTCAACTAATTGGGAGCTTTCTTCAAAGTCAGAGTGCATCTGCCTGAGAGGCAAGGAACCAGCAGTCTGCATACAAACGAGTCAGATCAGTGAAATGGATTTACACACAACACTCAGGTTCTGGAACACGACTGCAGTTCAGAAGTGAATGAACAACATGAACTTTCCGCCAGAGTTTACAGCTGGTGAACGTGAAGAAGAAAAAGAAGTGGAATGGAGTAATTGATTGTGAACCCTGTTAGATGTCTATTTACTTACTTATGTTTTATCAGTTCAATATTTCATTTGGCTGAAGTTAATAATTTAGCATGTCTTATATTTATATTTGATAAAGTTAACATTTGTGTAAATAAATTAATGACTCATCATATTGAGACTTTAACGTTGTGCTGAAATTAATATTCTATCATTTTGTAATGTTAACACCTTAAACATTTTGTTAATGTTAACATTGTATGTTTTGCTCACAGGGGTTCACCATGTTTACGACACGACATTTGCCCGTAACTTTAGCCTGATCGAAAGTTGTCATGAGTTTGTGCGCCGGTTCAAAGCTGCTGAAACGAACAAGACTTCTCTCCCCATGTTGGCCTCAGCATGTCCAGGTAAGAGCAACATCTCTGAGATGGCCAAGTTGTCCAGGTATTTAGCTAGCTATCACAGTTCCCACACATATTCTTTCTCATTTGGCGTCGTCTAGGTAAAGATTTCACATCACAGCATTCAGGAGAAGCCTATATTAGCTCTTTGTCTTCCTCCTCAACCCCCAGCGGAGTACTGGGACATTACCTGTTTTTATCTAGTTAACTAGCATGGTGTTTCATAGCAAAGAAAAGGCGAATGGACGTCGCCAAGTGCAGCAAAGCCTTGCATTTGATATCACAACGTCTAATTTGAGAATGGAGGTGGAGGCAGCCACTGCTGCCTTCCGCTGGCTTGAGAATCAACTGTACACACATGCCGTAATTGTAACTGACTCACAGAGCATGTTGAGATAAGTGGAGACAGGCATACTCAGTGCAGAGTGGCAAGCATCACTTCAAAGTTCCCGGTTAGTTAGCATCCTTTGGATATTTTCTCCAAGGTATTCCGGTGTTTTGGGAAATGCGCAGGGAGATAGATTGGCTGGTTTTGCACCACTTAGTGGTGAACCTATGTATGACAAGCTGGACGATCTGAGGGCTTTTTGGGAGCGAGTGAAAAGTGCGGAGGAGCAGATAGATCATTATGGTCTATGGAAAATGCTGCTGCAAGGAGTTATCAGGGGATCTGGCTGACACTCAACACAGGAAAAGGATGAGATGGATAACAATCAGATGGTTACTGGTAACATCAGAATTGGAACTCTTCATTAGTTGCTGAAGATGGGGACTGAGCACTCATGGGAGTGTCCCAAGTGCTGTGATGTTGATTCTTAATTCAACATTCAACATCTTCAGGTAAAGGTTTTCAGTATTTTCCATTTTACTTGTTACTTGTCCCCAAAGCAAAAGGTCACCTCTGCCTTCTGCAGTGACAGTACACCCCAAGGTGGAGCCACTCCAGCCAACCAATCTGCCTGATCATTCCCAAACATGCCTATATGGCCCAGGTAAAATATCCATGTGACTGTCACCACCTGCAACCAGTGGATTAATACGACCCTTTCAGTTCAAAGAAAACCTGGCTGCATCTTTCTGAGCATACAGTGCCAAATTCGATACTATGACAACACATGTAGCAGAGATTTTCTCACAACCTGTCCACAAGCGCCAAATGTCTTGTGTTAGTCAGTTAGTCTTTCCTCTTGAGCTTAGGGCAATGCAAAGGACAGAGGTCATAGCTCTTCATGTCTGGCGGTTTGCTGCTACCTGTTCCAGGTCTTGGATGTTTTTTAGGCCCATGGTTGAGCCTTCTCTGATGATGGTTCTACACAGGGTTTCTCTTGGTCTTCCTGTTCTTCTTTTCCCTTCCGGTGTCCGTATGAGAGCTTGTTAGGGGAGTCTTGTCTTATTCATTCTGAGTTTTCATATTTTGTGCAAATTTAAATAAAATGTCTGTATGTATGTAAGTTGTACCCAACCAGGACGCCACACAAGCGATAAACACCAGGTGACACAAAGTGCCACCATTTAGATGAGGATCACCCGTGGAGAGGTCCCGGAAACCCCGTTCAGCCGTTAGGCCATATTTCAGGCCCCTATATTTAGGGCCCCCTGCAAAAAGCCAGAGCAGGGCTACAAAATAACTAAAAATTGCATCCTACAAGGGGATGACGGGAGAATAGACTTGATATTAAAATAAAATTTAAAAATGAATGCACTTAAGTGTAGCAGAGGAAGAAATGGCCAGCAAGATGGATTTGAGACATATCCATGCTTTAAATGTTTGTGAGATAGCAGGGAAAAACATACACACTGGATAAATAAATTGGCCATGAACGATAAATTTAAAGTTAAAGAAAAGAAATTATCTCAACAAGCCTGTTATTGATTTAAAAAAAAAAGTTCTGCTGCTTGATGAAGCAGTTTGTTAAGCATTCAGTAAACAAAACAGAATCCACAGCCTGATCATCATTTCTTTTAGTTGTACAAAACTTTCTGAGTAACTCTAAAGCAGGCAACTACTCTGAATTAGTTGAAAACATGCTGTTGAGGTTTTGTAAGCTTGGATGCAATATGAGCATAAAATTGCTTTATGTCCATAACCATTGACATGTCTTTCCTGAGAATCTTGGCAATTGTAGATTTCCCCCAAGATGTAATAACAATGGAAGCAAGATACCAGGGACTTTAGGATGACCACATAATGGCAGATTACCACTTGACCCTAAAACGTGACTGTCCGGGGATATCACATTCCAAGAAGTTCTCAGAAAGAAGCTTTTTATGTGTTGATTGCTGATAAACAAATGCTGCTGATAAAGTTTTAATACATTTTTTGTGTTTAATGTGAAGGTAATAAATTCACAATAATTGCAAATTTATAATGTGAATGTAGATCAGGGCTATTTAACTGGCAGCCCGCGAGCCAGATGTGGCCTAGCAAGTGGTCTGCGGATCATTGCCAGGTGTATTATATTCAGGATCTTTCTATGCTAGGACTCAGGTCTCTGGCCCGTGACGATCTTTATTTTCAAATTTGTGGCTCCCTGATAAACTTAGTTGAATAGTCCGGATGTAGATGAAAGTCAAACTGTAACTGACTCTAAGCTTGCACATAACAATTCCCCTATCAAGAAGGTTGTTCTCATTTATCTCATAAACTAAAGCTGATAGAAACAATCTGATTATATTTTTGGAATCAACACAATATTACCCAAGAAAAGCTATACAATTTAAGGTAGTAAAATGTGTGTAGACCAGTGTTATCTTTTCATTGTGACTGTACCTTTTTTGTCACCTGTGTCCATAGGATGGATTTGTTATGCAGAGAAAACCCACGGCTCCTACATCCTGCCGTACATCAGTACCACCAAATCACCACAACAGATCATGGGATCCCTGGTTAAAGATTTTCTAGCCCAGCGGCTGGGTCGAAGCCCAGACTCCATCTACCACGTGTCTGTGATGCCGTGCTATGACAAAAAGTTGGAGGCCTCCAGATCTGACTTCTATAACGATGTCTACCAGACCAGAGATGTGGATTGTGTGATAACTTCAGGTGAGATGGGTGTGGGCAGGGTGTAACTAGATGTGGGTGAGGTATAACCAGATGTGAGTGAGGTATAACCAGATGTGTATGGGGTATAATCAGATGTGTATGGGGTATAACCAGATGTGTATGGGGTATAATCAGATGTGAGTGAGGTATAACCAGATGTGAGTGAGGTATAACCAGATGTGTATGGGGTATAATCAGATGTGAGTGGGGTATAACCAGATGTGTATGGGGTATATATAATCAGATGTAAGTGGGGTATAATCAGATGTGAGTGGGGTATAATCAGATGTGAGTGAGGTATAACCAGATGTGAGTGAGGTATAATCAGATGTGAGTGAGGTATAACCAGATGTGTGTGGGGTATAATCAGATGTGAGTGGGGTATAATCAGATGTGAGTGAGGTATAACCAGATGTGGGTGAGATATAACCAGATGTGAGTGAGGTATAATCAGATGTGTATGGGGTATAATCAGATGTGAGTGAGGTATAACCAGATGTGAGTGGGGTATAATCAGATGTGAGTGAGGTATAATCAGATGTGAGTGAGGTATAACCAGATGTGAGTGAGGTATAATCAGATGTGAGTGAGATATAACCAGATGTGAGTGAGGTATAATCAGATGTGAGTGAGGTATAACCAGATGTGAGTGAGGTATAACCAGATGTGAGTGAGGTATAACCAGATGTGAGTGAGGTATAACCAGATGTGAGTAAGGTATAACCAGATGTGAGTGAGGTATAACCAGATGTGTATGGGGTATAATCAGATGTGAGTGAGGTATAACCAAATGTGAGTGAGGTATAACCAGATGTGTATGGGGTATAACCAGATGTGAGTGAGGTATAACCAGATGTGAGTGAGGTATAACCAGATGTGAGTGAGGTATAACCAGATGTGTATGGGGTATAACCAGATGTGAGTGAGGTATAACCAGATGTGAGTGAGGTATAACCAGATGTGGGTGAGGTATAACCAGATGTGAGTGAGGTATAACCAGATGTGGTTGAGGTATAACCAGATGTGGGTGAGGTATAACCAGATGTGTATGGGGTATAACCAGATGTGGGTGAGATATAACCAGATGTGGGTGGGGTATAACCAGATGTGTATGGGGTATAACCAGATGTGGGTGGGGTATAACCAGATGTGAGTGAGGTATAATCAGATGTGAGTGAGGTATAACCAAATGTGTGTTGGCTATAACCAGATGTGTATGGGGTATAAACAAGATGTGGTTGAGGTATAACCAGATGTGTATGGGGTATAACCAGATGTGGCTGAGGTATAACCAGATGTGGCTGAGAAATAACCAGATGTGGCTGAGAAATAACCAGATGTGGGTGGGGTATAACCCGATGTGGGTGGGGTATAACCCGATGTGGGTGGAGTATAACCAGATGCGGGTGAGGTATAACCAGATGCAGGTGAGGTATAACCAGATGTGGTTGAGGCATAACCATATGTGGGCGGGGTATAACCACATGTGGGTGGGATATAACCAAATGTGGGCTGAGTATAACTAGATGTGGGTGGGGTATAACCAGATGTGGGCTGTTTTTTTAAATAACTTTGCTGAATTTGTTATAACTTTATAGGATTTTAACACATGTGGTCTGTTACTCCTGTCCTGAGTGTCAGCCAGATTCTCTGCCCACTCCTCGCAGCAGTATTTTCATCAGACTGTGATAATCTGTTTGTCTCCTCACTGTTAACTCACACCCACAGGATACCTACAACATCTAGCTTCTCATGCTACAGTTCCCCATGATCTGTTTGTCTCCTCACTGTTAACACACACCCACAGGATACCTACAACATCTAGCTTCTCATGCATCAGTTCACCACGATCTGTTTGTCTCCTCACTGTTAACACACACCCACAGGATACCTACAACATCTAGCTTCTCATGCATCAGTTCACCACGATCTGTTTGTCTCCTCACTGTTAACACACACCCACAGGATACCTACAACATCTAGCTTCTCATGCTACAGTTCACCACTAGGCATATAGGGCTAGACCTATATTAGTGCACCTGGTACCCACTCAAGGCTGGGTCCACCTGGGAGCCTTAGTCGTTTTTGAGAAAAGTCTGGCTTTGCCAGGGAGCTAACCCATGACCCTCCAATCCGCAGCGAGCACATAGCCGCTCCGCCACGGGGACCTTCAATTAAAGATGAAGCTATGTTTTAATATTCTCTGATAATGTTTCAGGTGAAGTGGAGAAAATGTTGGAGAAAGAAGGAACCTCCTTGTCTGATGTAGATGAACAGCCTCTTGAGTCTATGTAAGCATTTAATTTTGTTCTGCTGTTTATGCGTTAAAGCATCACAGAAGAGTTAGATGTTTTCTTTTGCTAGCTGCATAGCTTGAGTTAATGCCATATTGCATTTCTTTAGTGTCATTTTTACTCCAGTCCACCCACCTCTTTCTTGGTCAGCCTCTTGCTTGCTATGTAGTAATGCTCTAGCTGAATATTTTGTTCCTTCTGACCAGATGACCAAACCATTTGATTCTGATGTTCTTCTGAAATCATTTGCCAATTCTGTGCCTACAATTGTTCTTTTTTTATATGTTGATGACTGACTTCTTTTGTTTTTTCCCTGCCACATTTCTTATACAAGGATGTTTTTGTTTTAATGAGCAGTATGTAGATCTACCGTTAAAAAAAAAAGAAGGATAAGACAGTTTTTGATAATAGTACTTAGTTTTTTCTTCTTTATAATAACATTTTCATTTTAAATTGCTGGGAGGTAAAAAGGGGGAGAGGGGGGGCAGGTTGGTTTGCGTGTCTTGTGGTATATTTAAGAGGGTCACCGCCTGAAAAGCCCTGCTGCGGACTGCTATGTTTTCATTGGCGTTGTCTCGTTAATTTGACCAGGGATTTACCAAAACGTAACAAGAAACTTAATTATCCATTTAGCACCATACTTGTTACGTCGTCGTAGCAAATCTTTCTGACAAGGAAAAGTGGCACTGAAGGGAACTGGTCAAGTCATCTCATAATGTCATGACTTAAGGGGTCACTACAAGGCTATTTTTCCAATTTATGACAAAACTATCACTTTTTCAATATGTTCACTTTTGTAATGTTCGGCATTCGTAGAATATATTACACACAAAATTTGTGTCATTGGTAAACAATTTAGCATTGAAAAGTTAATACTAAAGACACCAACCCATGCACTTTTTTAAGATAAAAAAAAAAGAGTTAAAAACTGTTCTATTTTTCTGTTTGTTGTGTGTGGGATCTCCTAAAATCTCAGCTAATATAAAGACTGGAGATGTGAAATTTGGTGTGGATACTCCTAACACAATATTATAGGGTCAGGTCTATTTGAAATTACAGTTTATTATTTTTTTTTTTAAATTTGATTATTATCTTAAAATGTGACGTTTTTTTATTTTTTCAACATACCTAAATTTTAATATTCTAAACAAAATATTTAGAAACATCTTTGAAGAAAATAAACTAGACCTGACCCTAAACATAGGTTTAAAGTTCATGAATCGATCATCTGTTTCTCAATACCTCTGTTTGTTTTTCAAATTGTAGCTAAGTACATGTTGTTTTTTCATCAAGATGGTGGCTGTTGCCATGGCAACCATGTTTTTGTAAACTTGAAGTCTACAAATGTATCAACATACATCCCTACAAATGACCATTAGAAAATAATTGGTCTAACATTTAAGTAAAAACACACAAAAATTTTTTTCCTGTAGTGATCCCTTAACATTTCAGGCAGCGATATTTTTACTATAGTCTTCGTGCATGTTTCTTTAGCAAGGTTATGTTACAGAAACCATGAGAATAGGGTTGCTCCCAGTGGCTCATGATGGCACTGAGTTTCTAACATATTATATCTCTGCGACTGAATGGATCAGACCTAACTCTTTCAGTCCAAGGATCATGAAGCATAGATAAACATTTGTCAGCATTTCCTATTGAATGTCCTTTGCAGGCAGTCCTTTTGGCACCCACCCCTGAAAAATAAAAATAAAAAGTGCACTATAGAACGTTGTTCCTTGAGGGTACACTCTGTAAGTGCAGCTGCTATTTATTTCTGTGTTGCGAATGCGCATGCAACACCTTGCGTCACCTAACGAACTATTATTTTATCTCACCCCACTGCTATAAAATAAAGCGTATTAAAGTTTCCAGCTTTTTTAACTTAACAAAAAAGTATATACAAGTTAGCACCTCTGAGTTGTATAAAATAATCGTTCAACGACTGAAATATAGCAGCTTAAATATAGGTTTGATTGCATCTATGAGGTGGCAGGGAGAGATAAAGTTCGATGTTGCTGTCACCTAACGACACTTTTAGAAACCACCAACTACATTTTCCTGCCATCCCATAGCCATTTGTGACTTACTTATTGACTTTCCCTCGTGTGTGTTTATATATATATATCATCAAGTGCATTGCCGGCTGGCATAGGTGTTCATGTGTCACCACAGATCTGGGTCTTTGGTGTTCTGGATCAATTCTACTGATGATATTCCTTCATGTCACATTCTTAAGCCATACACCATTTCTCTTGGTCTGCCTCTGCCTATAATATATATATATATATATATTTACAGAGTTTCTGGCACTGAAGATCAAGTGTACAACCATTCAGGTGGTGGGTCTGGTGGGTACCTGGAACATATTGCCAAGTTTGCAGCCAGTGTCCTACTGGATGCTGAAGTTGAGGAGCTCACTTACAAGATCTTGAGGTAAGTGGTATACTTCTTCACATTCAGCGGCTGTAAACTCTGGCAGAAACTTCTGGTTGTTCTTACACTCCTGGAACTTTGATCTTGATCCAGTATTTGAGTTGTGCATGTAAACACTTTTTACAAATCTGGCTTAATTGTATGCCAGCTGTTGGTTCAATGCACCACGGGCTAATGCACTCCAACTTTGAAGGAAAGATCCCCAATTATCACTTCCTACATTCTGGTTAGGGGAGCCGTGGCCTTGTTCTTGTTTCTCCAAAATGGAGGCCCAGAACCCACACAGGGACTTTATGTCAAAGGTTAAACCTGGCCAGTGATGGAATTCCAGTTTTTTTTTTTTTTTTTAAATAGAACAAAACCAGTACATCTTCCCCCCCTCCAGAATGTTACCTGGATCTATATTAGGGTATTCCTATATAAAGTATCCCCCTCCAGAATGTTACCTGGATCTATATTAGGGTATTCCTATATAAAGTATCCCCCTCCAGAATGTTACCTGGATCTATATTAGGGTATTCCTATATAAAGTATCCCCCTCCAGAATGTTACCTGGATCTATATTAGGGTATTCCTATTTAAAGGTACATCATTTGTTAAATCCTCTCATGCAGTTGTGGATTAAGAAGAGGTGGCAACTCTGGGGTAAGAGGGAAGAAACAAGAGGATTGGTTTGCTGGCGGGGCTATAGTGGGCACAGGAAAAGCAGTGGACTGGGCTGATGTTCTCAATGCTGTCAAGGAGGCAGGACAAGTAGATGATTTAGGAGATGATAGTCAATTAGCAAAAGACTACAGAAAAACTGCATGTAAAAAGATGTGTTGCCAGACCTGAATGCTAAACAGGTAGCCAAAGAAGAATAGTACTACCAATACAGAACTGGCGTTGTCCGCCACCACATGCTGAAGGAGACGGTGAAGTTGGGCTCTGGACGCACATGGACTTTTCCAAAGTACAGTGTGGGTGATTGGTCAGTAAATTAACATATGCAGTTCTGTAAAATAGGTAAGCTGTGGCAATTGTTGAACTAATATTTTTTACAACTTAAAGGTGCTAATTTTTATATACTTTTTTTTGTTCAGCTAAAAGCTGGAAACTTTAAAATGCTTTATTTTATAGCAGGTGGGTACTAACATGTCTATACTAATTTTTACAGCCAACTTTTAGCAGAAATCATAAATGGATGAAAAAACTGGTTATGACCGAAATATAGCAGCTTAAATATACTTTGAATCTATGGCTAAGAGGTGGCAACTTTAATGTGCTCTTTTTTTTTTTAAACAGCTGAGAGGTGGCAGCTTTTATATACATATATATATATTTTTAGACAACTGAAACGTGACAACATTAGTGGTTTATTAGCTTTTTTTTTTAATGAAGAGCTGAGAAGAAGTACTAACGTTTATATAGTTTTCTTCAGCAGCTTTTATATAACTATTAGCTACACTGATGACATGTGTCATTCTGCTACATTTGTTTCATTTTCATTTTCAGAAATCAAGATTTCCAAGAAGTCACCATTGAAAAACAGGGAAAGCCACCTCTGAGATTTGCACTGGCCTATGGATTCAGAAATATCCAAAACATTGTCCAGAGAATCAAGAGAGGGAAGTGTACCTACCACTTTGTTGAGATCATGGCCTGTCCTGCCGGCTGCAACAACGGTGGGGGGCAGGTCCGGGCAGAGGGTGATGAAAGTCAGAAAGACAGGCTTCGGTCGGTAGAAAAGATCTACAGAAGTGTGCCAGTTGTGAACCCATTCCAACAGCAGCAAGTGGAACAGATGTACTCACTTTGGTTGGGTGGCAGGGACTCAAAGAAAGCACAAGAGATGTTGCACACCAAATATCACGAAATAGAGAAGTCAACAAGTGTTCTCAATATTAAATGGTGATAGATTGTATGAATTACTACAGGGAGACCTGATAAGGAAATCTCACTGGGACCCAAGAAATAGTTCTTCTTATTAGAAATTCCTCTTATCCAGATAAGATTTCAAGCAAGAAAAAATGCTGGGGGATAAACAAATTGTTCTTCACAACAGAAATTCACCACATCCAAGATCGTCTTAAGTGGTTTGCACTGTGTGAAGGTGGGAAACCATTGCACGCCATGTGTATCCATAGGTTTTCTATTAGACTTCCAGTGTTGGGTCCAGTGAGACCTGGTTGGATGCGCCATCTTTTGTGGTAAATTACAAAAAAAAATAATGTATGTCCCTTTTCACCACTGACCATGTTTGAATCACAGATATATAAAGTAAAGGTCCCTTTTCTACTCTTTTGGCGTATAACACAGAGGGCTAGACCTATATTTTCATAGACTAATCGGCACAAGATGGGTGATGTGGTCAGCATCACACCGACTGCCTTTACTTTTCAGGACTGCACCCAGTACCCACTCAAGGCTGGGTCGACCTGGGAGCCACTTCATTTTTTTTTAAAAGCCCGGCTCTGTCAGGAAGCGACCTTCCGATCCACAATCAAGCGCCTAGCCGCTACGACTCCCAACATGTATGTAAGAGACTTGTAATGTTTTTTTTTCTAATGGTGTTATAGTCACAAACTGCAAAGAGACAGACCAAGACCAGATGTGGGCAGAAGTATTTATTATTCTGATGAATAAAAATAGATATTGATTGCCGCTCATAGAAGTGGAGAAAATAAAGAGATATTAGCTGGCACACTAAATATATTAATTAAATAATGCAGCTACTACACTTGCCACCTCCGGCTATCCTCAGAATAACGGTCCTAAATTATCGAGGCGGAAAATATACCCTAACAGGGCCTCAGTCACGTGACATTTCGCGCGTCCGTGGTCTTAAATTGCGCACTTCTGGCGACTTCCGTCACCGCCACGAGTATCCACACGCCGCGGATTGGGGCTCACGAGCAGCAGCTATCGCATCTCCTGCAGCTTCCTTCATGTTATTTGCTTGTGAGTCCTAGTCATTTAGTTTAGCCCCAGTCCACGCCGCTCATGTGGCGTGGCGGGGATACTCTCGGCGGTGGCGATATAGTCCCTGGAAGTTCGCAATTCGGCGGTAGCATTATAGTCCCCGGTAGTGCGCAATTGACATGTGACTGAGACCCTGTTAGGGTATATTTTCCACCTCGATAATTTAGGACCGTTTTTCGGGGGATAGCAGCCACCTCCAAATGACCTCACTTTAGGCACAGTGGTTTTATCGATGAAGGGGTGAAACTGTTTGCCCCTAAAGGTCATGAGTCTACGTCATGGACATATTATTTCCTGTACGAGTGCAGCTTTTACAAGAATACCTCAAGATCATCACCAGACTGTATGCGACTCTCTCAGGGATGGCTAGCCTCTCTGTGGATTGAGATAGCCATATTGGATAATCTGTCGGGTTTACAGTTGCCTGCAGATTGTTTTTTTGTTTAAGCTTTTTAATTACTGTTCAATGGAATTTCTTGGGATAACCTGGTGCAGTGAGTCAGTTTTTCTCGAATTTATAACTGTAGTGTCAAGTGCACCTCAACAATGCTAGAACACCCATTTTCAGGATGACTATAAAACAGCAGTATAGTATTGTCCCTAGGAGGTGGCAAATCCAAGTGTGGGGACTATTGCTTTTTATATTGTCTAGTATGCCCTCTAAACCTGCTGTTCCTTTCACCACTTCTGTGAATGGCAGTCAGTGCCTGCAGTTTATATTCTGATGTTATTTAACTCTTTTGTTATCAGGGACATGTCTATTTATAAACTAATTTAACAGCGCTGTGGTACTGAAAGCAAATGGCCTGAAGTGTTCCCCAAGTGTATATATTATTCTATTGACAGCTTCTGCAGGTATGCATCCCATGTTGTATGTTGCACCACACCTGTCATGTCTCTTAGCAGTTCTGCATTCGCTCTTAACAGGGTGGTTGGCATATTGTATTGTGGTTTACAGCTAGGCTGCCGTATCGAGCACATCTGATTACAGCAAACTGCTGATTGCTTACTGTTCACGACAGAATAATGTCAGACCTGTTGTTTTTGTTCTCCTAAAAAATGGGTCCATGGAATCTAATTGGATTACGTGGAAGAGATGCAGTTACATAAAAGAATCACGCATGATGAGTACATTACAAGAATAATATGTACACACACACATGTACACTTGTAACAGTATGAAGCTAACTAGTTTTACCTTTTGTTTGGTTTAATATAATCTTTCACATATCAACCACATGTGGGTTCAAGGGCCCCTTTGTAAGGTTGACAAAAAAAAAAACCACTGCCTTCGTATCAAAACCCAAAACAAGTTAGTTACATAACCTTGACAGGACTTTGCAGAACCAACCCCAGCATTTTTTTTTTGGCTGTTTTTTTCTAGTCAGATTGTCTCTTAATAACAAATGACCCTTTTGTGTGAATACAGGCACACAGATATATGGTGCTAGTCACATTTGTAAAGACCAGGTAACATTCAGTGGGTGGGGTCATTGTCATGCCATGCATCTTTTGCTTCTGACATTTTCTGGTACCAGTTTTGGCTTGGGTTGACCTAGATGCTAGGTCAATTTAGACCCGCTAAAGCGAGACAGGGAAGCAATTGGCCACCCTCGGAACAATTTATCTTTGGGCTACCAATATCAGATTTCTCTATATGAAATGGATGGTGGTCTGTGGCTAAGTAAATGCGAACGTTTCGTAATGCCGGGATTGGTATTAAGAAAGCCGACCGCCCAGAAAGCAATGGCAAACTACTGGACGTAAATTTGCCTAGAAAAACCACACAACAGTCAGGGGCTGTTGGGGTTGGTTCTGCAACGTCCTGTAAAGGATACACAACCAACCTATATGAAATAAACGTACATATGTATCCATGCTACAGTAATGGTTGGCTAATCACATTTTTGTGCAGACTAGTCTATCAGCAAAACTATGTCATTTGGAGCAATGTGTATTTTAAACATTTTGTTAATGGGAGGTTTTGTTGCTTTCAGTAAAAATTTCTGTTTAAGAATGGAAGTCTGTATTTGTGCGTGTGACTTTGTGTCACTGTTGGGGGTGATGTAAAATTATAAAAGTGTAGGAGTTGCAATGCAGTTTGCTGACTACACTGGTGAAAAGGGAAACCACAACAGGCTGATAGGTTCAGGCAACATATTTCTGGAGCGCAGAACAGTGCTGGTGCATTTTAGATCTCAGGTCACTAACACGGAGAGGCTACAGCCATCAAGTCTAGCCACTCCAGCAACAGTCTGTTAACTCTCTTGAGAACCACCTTATCTATCTAATGGGGTCCAACTTGCCTAAATGTCCAACACAGCTTTATTTAATATTTTAGAGTGCAGCCCTTGCCTTCTACATCTTTGTATTCACATATGCCTCACCGCTTCACGTGAGACCAGCCAGCTCAGTTAATGATACAGCTTCCAAATTCAAAAATAAAAACATTTTTTTTTTACAGCCTATGTACATGTATTCATTGCATAACTGAAATCAAACGCTAATTGTCCTGAACACATTGAATCCACTCTGGGCAGTTGAAAACACCACTCCTGGAATCTGAGGGTGCCAGTGAACTTCCTTGATATCTTTCTGCCCCTGGTGGATGAAGAGAAGCTGCGGGGGAACATCTGGCTCATCCTCATTTTCTGGAGTTTCATCGCGCTCCACCGCAACATCCCAGATAGTAACCTGGTCATCAGAGCCGGACGCCACAAACACCGAGCTATCGTGTGGGTTCCATTCCACAGATGTGATCTGGCCTTTGTGGTGTTCAAATACTGCAACCTCTCCGCTCTGAAAACAGTTTTCATCAAAACATTTTTTTTAAAAACAAACACAAATACTGTATAATCACAAATCTGGCTGAGAAATGTGCAGACTGTCAGTTCCTTGCTCTTTCCATCTCCTTGAAGGAAACGTTAGTCCGATCAACACTCCCAGTTGGGGAACCTGGGTCCAGGCAGACCACAGAGAAGTCTAGAAGGGCTAGACCAGTATGAGCTCTCGCTGCTGACACACCACCACATGTCGTCTTCTTGTTCCAGTTTAATGTTGGACACTATGGCGGAAAGTTCTGGTTGTTTGTCCACTTCTGAACTTTAGTCTTGTTCCACAGCCTGAGTGTTGACGTGCACATCAGTTAAACAAATCTGACTTAACTATATGTAGATTGTTGGTTCCATGCCTCTCAGGCAGATGCACTCTGACTCTGAAGGAAGCTCCCTATTAGTCGACTCTTATGACATGCTTGTTGGGGAGGCAGTGGGTCTATCCTTGTTTTTCCCATAATGGGGAGCGTCACCATGTGCTTCAGCGCCTCTGCCTCATCTCATCCATTTGGAAGAGCAAACCACCCATAATGATAATGGGCAGATATCAAACATACATAACAACGCCCCCCCCCACAATATTCATTAACAGCCACAGAATGTGAACAATGGATCAAAAAACTATTCCTACCCACAATGCTTTAATGGATCGACAACTACTCCTCCCCACAACACTTACTTAAACAGTGGATCAGAATCTATTCCTCCCCACGACACTTCAATGGATCAACAACTATTCCTCCCCACAGTGCTTATCTTAATGTCTGAACATTGCTATCCATCAAGCAATAACTGCAGAATTGGAAACTGATGATGATGGCGGCCTAAATGTTTTTACTACATAACCTCCTGAGGCTCTCACAGAGCTTTTTCAGTGAATAATTTGGTACTGGTATTCGGAAGAGTGCCGAAATAACATATGATACAAACTGGTACTTACAGTGAATTTCCGCAAGTCCCAGATTTTAATAAGGCCATCATCTCCTCCAGATATGACCAGAGGATCAAACAGAGACCAGTCGATGACATTAATGTCTCGCAGATGAGCTTCACTGGCTACAAGTTTACAAGCCTTGCTAGGGTTGGCTCTAGCATCCCAAATTCTTAATGATTTATCTACTGAACAGGTCATAAACACCTGAGTACAGAAATCAAAGTTGTATTAGTTTATAAATATACATACAAGTGTGTGAACATATTTTTTTTTTATCTGTGCGTTCACAGGCTGTAAACTCTGGCAGAAAGCTTTGGTTCACTGTCCACTTCTGGACTTTAGTCTTGTTCCAGAACCTGAATTTCGTGTGCACATCCATTCTACAGATATGGCTAATGTGTATGCAGACTGTTAGCCCCCCCCCCCCCCAGGCAGATGAATTCCAAGTTTGAAGGAAAGATCCCCAATTACTCTACCTTTACAAAAGCTTATTAGGGAATAAGCTAGGTCCATTCTGTCTTTCCCACCAAGGGGCACCAGAACTCACACGGGGAGCCAACTGTTAAGAAAGCAATGGCAGACCAGTGAACGTCAAACCGCCTAGTAAAAAACAGCCAAAAAAATACTGTGGTCGTTTCTGCAACCCCCTGTTTTAGGAGAATACATAACTAATTGCGGAAGACTTCTCAATGCCAGCACATCTTGTTAAGACACTCTGGCTATGATTCGCTCATACCTCCACATAGCACAAGATAACACTATCATCTGGAAAGATGAAGGTAAAGTCTCTCTGTTTTCTTCCTCCTCCCTACTTCATTGACCCATCTATTTACCTGTCCCTGTTTTTGCTTCATATTCATAATATGCATTTTATTATATGAACATAGCATGCTTTATTCATAAAATACAACTGCTATATAAAAGACGAGGACGGAGCCGTCACATAGAGCACTACTTCCGCAGCTCTGACAGCGATCCTCATAGACCTCTGTAGAAACTGCATTTGTGAACTGAATGGCGCACCATGAAATTAACCCACAACATTCAGGGTGCGGGGCAAACGGCTCGACCAATGCCACAGAGACCACCTGGAAAGATGGATAAGTGCCAACACCCCCTCAACCACTGAAGTATCTCCACCTTGTGGCTGAGTCTGCCAATAATCATGAGAGCAATAAACCATGTGGTGATAGTGTAGCTACTTTTCTTCTTTCGTTCCCAATAATCAGGAGAGCTATAAACCATGTGGTGAAAGTGTAGCTACTTTTCTTCTTTGGCCCCCAATAATCATGAGAGCTAAAAACCATGTGGTGAAAGTGTAGCTACTTTTCTTCTTTGGCCCCCAATAATCATGAGAGCTAAAAACCATGTGGTGAAAGTGTAGCTACTTTTCTTCTTTCGCTCCCAATAATCATGAGAGCTAAAAACCATGTGATGAAAGTGTAGCTACTTTTCTTCTTTCGCTCCCAATAATCATGAGAGCTATAAATCATGTGGATAGTGTAGCTACTTTTTTTCTTTCGCTCCCAATAATCATGAGAGCTATAAATCATGTGGATAGTGTAGCTACTTTTCTTCTTTCGCTCCCAAAAATCATGAGAGCTATAAATCAGCTACTTTACTTTTCTTCTTTCGCTCCCAATAATCATGAGAGCTATAAATCATGTGGAGTGTAGCTACTTTTCTTCTTTCGCTCCCAATAATCATGAGAGCTATAAATCATGTGGATAGTGTAGCTACTTTTCTTCTTTCGCTCCCAATAATCATGAGAGCTATAAATCATGTGGATAGTGTAGCTACTTTTCTTCTTTCGCTCCCAATAATCATGAGAGCTATAAATCATGTGGATAGTGTAGCTACTTTTCTTCTTTCGCTCCCAATAATCATGAGAGCTATAAACCAAATGGTGATAGTGTAGCTACTTTTCTTCTTTGGCCCCCCAATAATCATGAGAGCTATAAACCATGTGGTGAAAGTGTAGCTACTTTTCTTCTTTGGCCCCCCAATAATCTTGAGAGCTATAAACCAAATGGTGATAGTGTAGCTACTTTTCTTCTTTGGCCCCCCAATAACCATGAGAGCTAAAAACCAAATGGTGATAGTGTAGCTACTTTTCTTCTTTGGCCCCCCAATAACCATGAGAGCTAAAAACCATGTGGTGAAAGTGTAGCTACTTTTCTTCTTTGGCCCCCCAATAACCATGAGAGCTAAAAACCATGTGGTGAAAGTGTAGCTACTTTTCTTCTTTGGCCCCCCAATAATCATGAGAGCTAGAAACCATGTGGTGAAAGTGTAGCTACTGTTCTTGTTCATCTTTCATTTGCCTGAAATTAATTATCTTCACCTGCAATGCTGTCTCAAATATCAACTTCACTGTCTTTTGTAATTCACTTAGCAGCTTGTGGTAAAGGTTGGCTTTCACCAGTGTCTCTCTTGACCAACAGTTTTGCCTGGAAATGTATTTCGGACAGTCTTGGAAGATGTGATCTGTTGTCTCAGGTACCATGCCACACATGCAAATGGCTGATTCGCAAGTTTTGTGTACATACGGCTGGGAAGTCAATTGTACCCTGTTCAAGGCATAGAATAATAATTTGCTCTGGTCTGTCCATAACATGGTTATTGCTTTGTGCCAGTTTTAGTGGCTTTCTCATTGATTTGATTATTCTTTTCTTCTGTTGATACGAGACTGGTATGTCAGGCTGTTCTTCAGTTGCACCTTCCTTAGCGAGTTTTTCAGATCTTTCATTTCTGGGACCTCCACACGGTGGGATCATATCCATTGCATAGTTACCCTTACACCGGTAGCCTAGTTTAGGGAGTAGTGTCGGTATACCTGTTAACTTTCCAGATTGGAGTGCCGAAGTACCGCTTTTACATCTGTCAGGAATACCACTGGTTGTGAAAAATACCCGGTATTAAGTAGGTTTTCTCCTGCTATCTAGACAGCTTGAACTTCTGCATCGTAGTGTACCTACTAGAGAGACCTCCCAAGCTGGGTAGGTCAAGAGACAGAAAACAGATGCCCGAATCCTCTAGTTTGGGGATTGAAACATGGTAGGGCAGACACTCCCATCTTGGGTAGGGCTGACACTCCCATCTTTGTAAAATCCCATTATTCACAAAATACATAAGTGTCAAAAGATAAAACCTAGGCAGACCGGTGAACACCTAAGAGTCACCGGCTAAAAAAAAAGAGCAAGTCACAGAGAATGGAGGGTGCATCAGCTGTAGCAATGACTAAACTCAAGAGCCGGGATGCTCAAGAGGAAGTACTTTATTATTAGGGTCCACAGTCTTAGGTGTCCAGCAATTTGGCTACTCAACATTTACAACATTTCACCGAACAAAGTTTCGCTGACTTACATTGCTCTCCAAAGGAGACCACTTGATATCTTCAACAGATGCCGTGTGACCTTCAAATGGCCGGATGTCGACTTGCCAGGTGCTTTCTCTTGGCTGCCACTTGTAGACGTTTTTGTTGCAGTCACCAGACAACAGCCGGCCTAGATTTACAAGACAAAATAACATTATAGTAGTGTATTTGTGTTTATGTATGTGCTGATGAAGGCTGTATGGTCACAACGTTCATGTTTCGTTTGTGTTTGTTATGGTTGAGGTTTAAACAATAGATCAACATCATGGCACAAGGGCAGTAACTCAGAAGCGCTCTGTTCTACTTCTAACTAAAGCCTCAGTCCGAAGAATCTCAACACGGTGCTTTAAACTTAGTAGCACCGGCGAGGATCCTGAAATACTTTGGGTACATTTTAAACTTCAAATTCTGACTGGGCAGCACTGTAAGGTTACTATTTGCAATTTCCAACTGCCAGGGGATTTTTTTTACGTCGCAACAATACACTCGGGCGTCCAATCTTAGTACTCAGAGACGGGAAAATACTAGAAGTCCACGTGAAAAATCTCAGCCTTCACCTGGGCCTCAACACTGGAGGCAGAAGCCATGCCTCAAGACCACTCAGCGCACCCCAAACCCCCTCTGAGTTTGTTATGTTGTGAAGCTCGCTGATCTACTTTTCGTTCGGTTTATATCTTTCCAATTTATAGCAACTACTTAGCATCAACACATGGCATTTATTTAAACTACAGAAATACTTTTAGTTTTTTTAAATATAAATTATGCTGCAGCAATGAATTTAATTAGTAAAGTGACATGCATAAATATCTCCATGCTGCAGGAACCACTGTTTTTTGCATGGTTGTGAATTTTAAATGAGTAATAAAACAGTAGGAAAATTGGAGGGGAGCAGAGGTAGAGTTAGAGAACAGCTGCTGGACAGTTTGACATCACAGCAAAGAGGATCACCTATGTTAAGAGTTAGAAAGTACACGAGACAGAAGGTTGTGGATACAAATGACTACCAATGCCACAGTCTTTAAGAAGAATTAAAAATGGGAAATACTGGAGGCAGTGAAGATAACACTTTTGAAGAATGCTGAGAATGTAAAAAAAAAAAAAAGTAAAGATCCCTTTTCACGTCTTAGGCGCAACGGGTATATTGGAAGAGCGTCCCATATTTTACAGACCAATCGGCACTGGATGGGTAATGTGATCAGCATTACGCCGGCCGTCTTTACTTTCCCAGGACAGCCATCCTGGTACCCATTTAAAGCTGGGTCGACCTGCGACGGATGCTGAGAATAAAGTGGACAGAAAAGAATGCTGAGGTATGTGACAGTTGCAAAGAGTATAAGAAAACTCAGTGAAAAGAAAATTATTGTGCATGCATCAACAGAAATACTGGCTAGTCGCCCTAGAGTTAGGATAAACAGCTCCCTTAAAACTGGACTGCATTAATCTGACTGACAGGCAATGAAACATGACTGCAGATCTGTAAAACACAAACCTCAGATCCTAGAACAGACATTCAGAACTGGACAAATAACCAGGATGTCCCATCAGAGTCTACAGCTGGTGGACATGAATAAAACAATTGAACAGAGATTAGCCTTGTATGGGAAAACACTTGGCAAGGAAGGCAGAGAAAGATGTATTTAAGCATCATCTACTTTAGTGAGACACTGGAAGAGAAACTAGAGTGAAATAAGAGGTAGCGGTGAGAGAAATGATTTAATTGCACCGGATTTTATCTCATATGGCTCAGTCTCTCTCCGCAGAACAGACAGCTGGCACGACAACTGTCGCTCCAGCGATGATCCCCGCAAAAACTGCACTTGTAAACTGAATAGCGGCGCCGTGAAATGAACCCACGACCTCCAGAGCACAAACGCTTGACCACTTCGCCATGAAGCTTATTACAGTCCATGAAAAAAAACAGTAGAAAATATGTTCAGTAAATATTGGAAGAAAAAGTGGACTGAATTGTGATCATGCAAGCTTGTTGCAGTCCATTAAAATACAGTAGAAAATAGGTTCAGTAAATAAATTCTCACCTGCATCATTTCGTGACCAGGCCAAGGCATAACCCTCCATCTGATGCCCGTCAAAAGCAAACAGTGGGGATGCCTGGCTACCTGAGGCCTCAAACTCCTCAATCTTGTCGGGGGTGTCCAGCACACTGACGTGGGATGTCACATCATAAATGTAGACAACTCCATGCTCCGACCAGGATGCACTCACAACATGACCACTGATGTTTGTTGCCTGGTTAACAGAACAAGGAATTCTTTGCAAGGAAAGTTATATTTTAATAACCAAAACTAATTTTGTTGACTATTATAATTCACAGCCTAAAAAACAGCACTTTAAAAAAAAAAAGACTTAACCTATCAGGTAGATTTAACACCTGATATACATTAAAACCAGTGGGCTTTCCTAGTGTGTGCGACTAATATTTTCATCCTGGACTTTCGACGACTCTAGTGGGCATGACGAGCTATGCGCTTGAGGCTTGCTCTGTTGTGTTCGCTGACGTCTCCATTTAGCAGAAGCACTGAATTTTCTACGTAAGCACACAGACTGCCACCCCTAACCGGGTATGCCTTCATTTCCTAAAACAGCGAGCGCTTTTCTATTATGTTCAGTACTTACTATTATGGTCAGCACTTTATATCACAGTGAACTTCATTGAAAATCATTTCTTATTTTATAAACATTCTGAAGTGGCCCAAAAACAAGCTGTCTATATTTAACAGTAAGCCTTCTTCTTCTTCTTTACAGTATCTGGTTGTGAACTTCAGAGAAAAGATTCGGTTATTTGTTCACTTCTGGACTTTAGTCTTCTTCCAGAACTTTAGTTTTGTGTGCACATCCAGTTTACAGATCTGGCTCATGTGTATGCAAACTTAGTTTCACGCTTCTCTGGCAGATACACTCAGACTTAAAAGGAAACGCCCCCAATAAGACACCTTTTACAAAACATGTTTGGGGTTTTTACTGAACCTATTTTTACTGTATTTTAATGGACTGCAACAAGCTTGCATAATCACATTTTATTCTACCTCTTGGGGGGGGGGGGGGGGGGGAGTCCCCCGGAACCCAAATTTAGAAAACAATGATTTAAAACAGAATGATTAGAATAAAAAGCTTTCCTCCCTAACAATGCTGTGTCTTCTCTACTCTCAAACTTCATGGCAGCAAAATTTCAAACACTGTTATTGGACACAAAAATTGTCGAAACAACACTACATCCTGAAGAGAAAAAAAATATATGTGCCGATGAAACAACACATTCATACGTGCACAAGCAATTTCATCACAGCCGATTTAATCGGCCATAACACAACACAGAGAAACACAAATGCAGATGATCAGCCTTGATGATGACAGATACATGATCAAACAAAAACACGTGTCACAAAACACTTACTTTTATTCTGTTGACACAGCCATTATGTTTTATCATTGTCTGATACAATACTGGTGGTGTCTTTTTTCCTGTTCTGTCGGGCTTATCTTCGCCCTCATCATCATCATCACTGCTACTCTCACTCTCCTCGCTGTCATCTTCTTTCTCTTCCTTCTGGGTTTTATGCATGTTGCACATTTTCATGAGCATGATGTAGTTAAAATAACCAGTTTCTGACTGGGTGCCTCCAAGGATGTAGGAGGTGTGGGGAAACGTCTCTCTCTTTTCACCGAGGCCATCTCGTAACACATCAAAGCTGAGACATGGATCACCTAGAGCAAAACAAAAATGATTAGAAAAACAGAACTGCATTAACCAGCTCATTAATTAGAACAGTGTTCTTCAACCTTTCTTCAAGTGTGGAACGTGAACATAAGAGAAATATCTTGGAGCAGCAGTAACTAAGATAGAAAGAGCACATATACATATCAATGATTAAATCCACTGTTTATATAATCTTCTTCTTCTTCACGCTGACCAGCTGTAAACTCTGGCGGAAAGTTCTGGTTGCCCATCCACTTTAGGACTGCAGTCCTGTTCCAAAACCTGAGTGTTGCTTGTGCATCTGTTTTACAGATCTGACTTATTTGTGTGCAGACTGCAGGTTCCTTGCCTCTCAGGCAGATGCACTCCGACTTCGATGGAAGCTCCCAATCAGTTGACTCTTACAATATGCTTTTGGGTAGGCAGTGGGTCTATTCTTGTTTTCCCCCCTATAATAGAGCCCCGGAACCCACACAGGGAGTTTATATAATCAAAATTGGTTATGTGTTTGCTAATAAAATGAACAAAATATGAATACTTTGGACATGACATAAATACAAAAGTACAACAGTACTCCGCATGATAGGCCAGGTTAAAAGACTGGTTAGGTCTCCAACAAAGATCAGTTTTATTTTCTTTCCAGGATCATCACCATCAAAAGATACAAAAACAATGACTAGTTTAGTCCACTCAAAAAAGGGTGAAAAGGTCAACAACAACAAAACTCAGAGACAGTCGAATTTTTGGGCCGAAGTCTTGACAAACAAATAAAACAAGAAATAAAGAGACTTCTAAGCCATAGCTTCCACACAGACGAGTCACACTGTCTTTCATAGTTTACATAGTTTAAAAAAACCAATATCAACTCGACTGCTGTCATCACAATTTTAAATATTTATGTCGTACATGCACTGTATTCCATAACTCCCTGCCACTCATTATGGTTCCTCACAATACTGTTATGATTTCAATATTATCAATCTGCGCCCTCTTTGGCCGTGCTATACTACTGCCTCATTCCATCCCAACTGTTACTTCAACTTCTTGTGCCCCATAATAATATTAATGTCTGAGTCCTTTTAAACCCAACCAGTTAATGCACTAAATCCTTAAAACTGAAAGAGTTGAAGAAATCAAAATGCTTTCCCAGGACTGTACGCTGCAACAAAGTTGACTTGTCATTTGTGCTTGTGATAATGTAGAACCACACTGTTTCTACTTTTAGTTTAATTTAATATCTTTCTACTCATAATTATTTGTCCTCTTCGCAGCAGCTCATCTCTTTCGTGTGTCACACCTTCCAAGAACTGCTAACAGCTTAACTAGCTGTGCGCAACTAACCGGTCAGTACTGATGTACTGCACTTTTGCATTATCATTTCATTCTTGTTTGTGGTATTGTACATGCATGCAATGTGCATAAAGGCTCTTAAGCTACAGCGCTGTCGTTCACTTGTGGGTGTTTGTCATTTGTGATAATCTGAAGCTTAGTGGTTCAACTTTTCGTTTGGTTTGATATCCTTAACACAGAAAGTTTAATTTGGTCCGACACTTAAAGTAGGAATATTCTTAATTTTAAAATAATGAATAATTAGTTTAGATAAAGTGTGTGTGTGTGTGAGGAAGTCAAAAACTATCTCCTATTTTGATATAACTCTTCTTACAATCACATTGTTCACACTGATTTCAGATTTCTGTTCTCACTGATTTTATTGTTATATACTGTTGTAGTAAAGCTATGAAAGTTTCATCATAATTCCGCAATTCCCCTTCCTTCTGTTGCATACATATCATGGCCGCTCCATTAAAAATTTGCACCAAAGAGAAATAATGAGCAGTGATAAGATTCCTCTGGTAGGAGGGTGTCAGAGGAACAGAAATTCATCGCAGACTATCATCGCATATGGGGGAAGTACATTATCATGTAAAACTCTGTGGATCGAGAAGTTTAATAGTGGTCAAATAGGTTTACCTCTTAGAGTCGCAGAGGGTTTAGCATCACAGGCCCAAGGGATAGTCAAGAGATAGTAAAATTGGCATACTGTACGTTCATTGGGCTTCTAGGCAGTATCCTATGAACGTACGATACGCTCCTTAGACTCCAAGAGTTAAAGCATGTGAAGAGGGAGCAGAACGGCCATACCTCTACCATAAATGATGACAAAATTAGGCTATCTTCCGAATAACGGTCCTAGATTATTGAGGCCGAAAATATACCCTTACAGAGCCTCAGTCACGTGTCAATTGCGCACTTCTGGGGACTATACCGCCGAGAGTATCCCCCTTGCCGCTCACGCGGCATAGATTGGGGCTCAACTAGATGGCTGGGACTAACAAGCAAATAAAATGAAGTAAGCTGCAGGAGATGTGGTAGCTGCTGCTTGTGAGTCCCAGCCATCTAGTTTAGCCCCAATCCACGCCCAGCGGTGACAGTAGTGCGCAATTAAAGTCGCCGGAAGTTTGCAATTGACACGTGACTGAGGCTCGTTAGGGAAATTTTAGGCGAATTACCATCGGTGAAGTATCTTCTCTGTTTCAACATTAGCCATCATAGTTCTGCCTATCAGATTTTCCACGACGAGATGAGCTTTCATAAAGTCTGTGCACTGTGAGTACCAAGAAAGCTCACTAAACTTACTCTGCAGAACAATGTGCAAAAGTGGCTTCACGATCAACTAAAACCTTTGGCTCTCCTCTGAACTTCTACCCCCGCATTATGGCAGCCTGAAATATCCTTACAGGGCCCAGTCCAATTACAAATATGCGAACTTCCTGTGACGAACGAATCGCAGCAAAACTAGGATCGGCTCCGATAGCGTAACAAATGCTTTAACAGGGTCTCAGCGATATGTTAATTGCAGGCCTGTTTCTGTGACTATGCCTCACCACCGACCAGTATCCCTCGTGCCGCTACGTGCGGCGTGGACTAAACTAGATGGCTGGGACTCACGAGCAGAAGCTACCGCATCTCCTACAACTTCCTCAAATTTAATTTGTTCGTGAGTCCCAGGCATCTAGTTTAGCCCCCCCCCCATCCGTGCGCAGCGGCGCGGGGAATACTGTCGGCGGTGAGCGTAGCCGCGTTTTGTGCATGCCGAAAAGTTTAAGGACAACAACGACGCTAATCTGCGTTGATGCACGTGGTCTCCCCTCCATGTCGCTTTTATCGTCTGCAGAAACGCTCAAAAGTGTCAACGGTCGCTATTATCGTCTGCTACTATCGTCTCTTAAAATTGTCAGGTAATCAGAAACAATAAGAAACAGGTCCGCAATTAACATATCTCTGAAACCCTGTTAAAGCATTTGTTTCGCTATACGGAGCCGATCCTAGTTTTGATGTGATTCGTTCGTCGTCGGAAGTTCGCATATTTTTAACAGGACTGAGGCCAGTAAGGATATTTGTTTGGCCCAGCGGGCGCCGCCATAATGCTGGGGTAGAAGTTCGGAGGAGAGCCAAACCGGCTCTCCTCCGAACGGCATCATAATATTATGGCAGCCATAAAATATCCAAATGGGGCTCAGTTCTATTACAAATATGCCGGCTCAGTATAACGAAACAAATGCTCTAACAGGGTCTCAGAGATATGTTACTTGCGGACCTGTTTCTGTGACTGTGCCTCACCGCCAACTGTATCCCCCGCGCCGCTATGCGCAACGCAGGGGATACGCTCGGCAGTAAGTTTAATCGCGTTTTGCGCATGCCGAAAAGTGTGAGGATTCAGGTCGGCAGGTCTAACATCTACCGCTACTAAATCCTTGATCGGACGAACAGTATTACTAATGTGCGTTGGAGTGCTTGGTCTACCCGCCATATTGCTTTCATCGTCTGTAATGACTCAAAATAGTCAACGGTCGCTATTATCGTCTGCAGAAATGCTCAAAATTGTTAACGGTCGGTATTTATCGTCTGCTACTACTGTGTGCAATGTTGATATTGTCAAGTCATCCTAGTTTTGCCACGATTTGTTTCTTGGCAGAAAGTCCATATTTTAGATATGCCGGATATTTTTTGGATATTTTATGGCCGCATAATATTATGATGCCGTCTGGAGGAGAGCCGCAAAACCTTTTATTTGAAAAGAATACTTAAGCTTGCTGATTTTGGGGCAAAGTGTATTGTGAGCTGGTAATCTTAGTTTCAGCACACAACCGGTCATCCCATAGTTAGTAGTTGCTCTGCTCCTGTGCTAACGAAAAACACACAAAATGTATTGTGATTGTGAACAGATACGGAGGGAGTTTACATAGAAAAATGACGTCTGATGTGCATGGTGAAACCCCTTGCTTAATGTAAATATATAAAATTGTTTTTGTAGATTGAAATGAAATTATTGAAAAGTGTAGATAGATGTAGATAATTTTGGACTCTCCCTCGTACGACGGTACGTTATTATAATTATTATTATATATCTCTCAAATTTAATATACACAAATATAACTATTGGCTAACAAAAATTAACATTTAATATCCTAAAAAAACAAATCGTAGATAGATTAACTTAGCTGGAAAAAAAAAAACTAGCACTTTTAACTTCAATCAACGACTTGACTTCTTACCTGTCGTGGCTTGGTGGTGCATAACATACGCCGTTTCATCCATAACCAATTCTTCATCTTCGTCAATCTGTCCCCGACCAGGGATATAAACTGAAGCCGTAGGTGAAGACGCCGTAGGTGAAGACACAGCCTTTTTTACTTTCTTTTTCTTCTTCTTGCCTGTTTTTTTAGTCGGCAACTTGGCTTCCATAGGATCATCTTCCTCCATGCTTGTCTTATTGTCGTCTGGTCACCACACGTGGTTCCTATTTTTAACATCTGACGGTGATGTCGTAAAATAATTCCCCGCTGATACTTGCCCTTCTTCTTCTCTACTTGTACCTCATTGAAATGTCGGGGGGGGGGGAGGGGGATGTAACGTTCGTTGATAATCTTTGTCAAGAGCATTATTAAGATTGATGTTTATTTCTGTAAGGCTGTTTTTAATGCCATAGTTAGTTGCGTATCCTTACAGCAGAACTTACTTGCAGAACCAACCCTAACAGCTCCTGGCTGTTGTGTGGTTTCTCTAGGCAATTTACATCCAGTAGTTTGCCATTGCTCTGGACGGTCGGCTTTCTTGATACCACTGTCGAAACCAACGCAAGGCGCATGGCCCGCAGCTGGGATCGAACCTGGCATCCCGGTATTACGAAGCGAAGCGTTCGCATAGACTTAACCACAGAGCCGACTTTTTAATGCTATAACTCCATTATTTAGAAGGTCTTGCGTTGTAACTCCGGTGGAAAGTTCTGGTTGTTCGTCCACTTCTTGACTGTAGTCCTGTTCCAGATCCTATGTGTTGCATGTGCATACATTTTACAGATCTGAATCATCTGTATGCAGACTGCTGGTTCCTTGCATCTCAGCCAGTCAGGCGGATGCACTCTGACTTCGAAAAAAGTTCCCAATCATTCGACTCTTACGACATGATTTTGGGTAGGTAGGCAGTGGGTCTATTCTTTTTCCCCTATAATAGGAACCTAGAACCCGCATAATATGACAAAATCCCCGTGTGGGTTTTGGGGCCCCATCGTGCGGAAAACAAGAATAGACCCTCTGCCTACCCAAAAGCATGTCGTAAGAGTCGACTAATTGGGGAGCTTCCTTTGAAGTCAGAGTGCATCTGCCTGAGAGGCAAGGAACTAACAGTCTGCATTCAAGTGAATCAGATCTGTAAAACTGATGCACACGCAATACTCAGGTTCTGGAGTAGGACTGCAGTTCCGAAGTGGACGAGCAACCAGAACTTTCCACCAGAGTGTACAGCTGGTGAACGCGAAGAAGAAGAAGAATATGACAAAAACATCACGACTGCCTTTTCCAAATTTGTTACTGTTGTTGTGGTACCATCGACACCGTCCTTTTTAGGATGAAATTTTTCGTTAATTGAAGCCCTACTCTGGCTTTTCCAGGGGCCGCAATATAGCCTGGCCATAAATATGGCCTAAAGGCTGAACGCGGTTTCTGGGACCTCTCCACGGTGATCCTCACCCACATGGTGCCACATTGTGTCATCGGATGTTTATCGCTTTTGTGATGTCCTGATGGGGTAGAAGTCAGTCAGTCAGTACTGTCGTTGTCGTTGTCGAGTAGTTAGCATTCTGTTCTGGTCTCTGCGTAAACCGCTAGACTGTTTTCCTTTTTTATTGCCAAAGAATTATAATAATTTGTCCGTTAAATCACTTTTGTAAGGTTTCGGATAAAAATTTTACTTATTCTCCAGAATTCACATCCATATCTAAAAGATACAGTCAAGAGGATAGGCTTCATTTCAACGGATTTAATCACCATCCAGCTGTGATCTCCAAGGATCATGTAAAAGTTGCACCGTCTACTCAAACGTCAGTACGTGAAATTAACACTTCGCCATTGGAATTCCCAAGCATGTGTTGAAAATTATAAATGGTTCCATGTTAAGTTAGTTTCGCATCCATTGCAGGCCGCTGCAGAACCGACCGCAGCAATCTTCGCTGTTTGCGGTTTCTGTAGGTAATTTTACGTTCATTAGTTTGCCATCCTATCTTGATACACGGAAGGGAATCATGGACAGTTGATAAACTAGTGCAAAGTTATCTGGAAGCTGCTGAGATGTGGTTTTATAGACGAACTAGCTGTGCCCTGCCACGCGTTTCTGTGGCCCCGAATGGTGAAATGAAAAAAAAAGAAAGTAGAAAATGACGAGATAAAAAGAGTAACGAAGAGGCTTGAAAGAAACTGACCCACGAAGAGAACTGAATGCCCACATCAGAAAGAGACACCTTTGGTAATTTGATTGGAAGGAGAAAACTGTAGTATATCGTGACAGTAGGACAGTTGGAGGAGAGACAGAGGGAGACCGAGAGAAAAGATGCTTAGAGGGTCTGACATCATGGTATGGAAGATCATCTGCGTCAGAGTTGATTGAAAGTACACGAGAAAGAAGGTTGTGGATACACATGACTACAAACGCCACATGGGATGGCCTATGGCAGATCATCCGTGTCAGAGTTGATTAAAAGTACACGAGACAGAAGGCTGTGGATAGACATGACTACTAGCGCCACACGACATAGACTTTAAGCAGAAGAAAACTGCTTTCATAATTTACAGAATACTACCTTTAAGTTGGAGTCGCCATGGCGGAGATGATGTCCCTATGGATTACCATCCACCATTCTCCAGGTGTGACCAACAGAGCTTTCGTAGGCGCATTGAGAAAACTGTAGCAATACCTGATCTTTTTCTCTCTTCAAAGTCAGAGTGCATCTGTCTGAGAGGCAAGGAACTAACCGTCTGCTTGAAATAAGCAATATCTGTAAAACAGCAGCACACGCAAAACCCTGGTCCTGAAACAAAGTCAAAGTCCAGAAAAGGACGAACAACCATGTTTTCCCGCGGGGGGTTCACAGCCGGTGATCAGAAGCAACAACAAGAAGAATAACTCAGTGTTTGTGATTTTGTCTTGCCACTTGACAAGTGTTTGTGATCTTGAATTGCCACTTGACAAGTGTATATGAACTTGTCTGGCCACTTGACAAGTGTTTGTATTCTTGTCTTGCCACTTGACAAGTGTTTGTGATCTTGTCTTGTCACTTGACAAGTGTTTGTAATCTTGTCTTGCCACTTGACAAGTGTTTGTGATATTGTATTGCCACATGACAAGTGTTTGTGATCTTGTTTTGCCACTTGACAAGTGTTTGTGATCTTGTCTTGCCATTTGACAAGTGTTTGTGATCTTGTCTTGCCACTTGACAAGTGTTTGTGATCTTGTTTTGCCACTTGACACCGCCTCGAAAAAAGTGCTGAGAACACAAGACTAAAAGACAAGAGTTTTCCTTTTAATCGCGAGCTTTCTGTTTTCCCAAACTCTTTCTGGTTATGTGCTCATTGTGGTTGTTGCCTTACCCAACCTGATCTTGATTTCGTGGTCCAGCGATAGTTTAGTATTCACTGTGGAACCCAGATATATAAAATGGTCAACTGTCTCCATCTCTTCATCGTCAGTATAGTTTTTGCACCATACTCTTTAGATTGTTTGTTGCTGATTGTTAGTCCAAATTCACATCATGCATCAGCACATGCACATAGTAAACATTCAGCTCCCCTCCGTGTGGGTGGTAATTTTTGCAGCTCTCTGAAAGCCAAAGGACTCCTTTCCACGCCTTGCAGGCGTATTGGGAAAATAGGGCTAGACCTATATTTTTATAGACCAACTGGCACTTGGTGGGTGACGTGGTCAGCATCACACTGGCAGCCTTTACTTCCCTGGACTGTACCTGGTACCCATTCAAGGTTGGGTCGACCTGGGTCATTGTCATTTTTGAAAACAAAGTCCGGCTCCGTCAGCTCTCTGATAACTACCTTCTTTTTTCTGGTTTTGGCTTTCAGCCTAAGAGCATCATAGAGGCTGCAGTAAGGTGGAGAATGGATGAACATACCACCCTCTTGATCTCGATAGCATATTTCATAGGAAGGGAGATGTTTAGTAGAAGCTTAATTTTCTCGCTCATGATTATCTGGACCATGTGTTATCCGTCGTGATGTTAAAAATCGGAAACGGCAGAACCTTCCGTATATTACAAACAGGGTAGGAGCGAGTAAACATCCTTGCTTCACTCCGCTGTTGATTACAAACTCCTCCAGTGTTAACGGTCAACGTTGATTGCACCTTTCATACACGTGTGGAACAATTCAGTAATGCTCAGTAGGGTAGGTGGACACCCAATCTTCTTGGGCATGTTGAACAGATCTTTTCGACTAACAGTTGAACAGATCTTTTCGACTAACAGTTGAACAGATTTTTTCGACTAACAGTTGAACAGATCTTTTCGACTAACAGTTGAACAAATCTTTTCGACTAACAGTTGAACAGATCTTTTCGACTAACAGTTGAACAGATCTTTTCGACTAACAGTTGAACAGATCTTTTCGACTAACAGTTGAACAGATCTTTTCGACTAACAGTTGAACAGATCTTTTCGACTAACAATTGAACAGATCTTTTCGACTAACAGTTGAACAGATCTTTTCGACTAACAGTTGAAAAAAGCAACACACAGTGGATGATTTTATTCATGGCATTTTCCCTGCAACTATCGTAATGAAAAAGTCATATAAGTGGTGCTCTAACGAAAACCACACTGTGACTGTGTAAAATGGTCTTCTAGGATCTGGAGTGCTATCAGAACTATTATCGCAAGTACGTTTCTAACAGTACACAACAGAGATATTCGCCTCTAGTTATTGCAGTCACTCCGATCACACTTGTCATTGTACATAGTTATGATGCCTGAGTGTTTGCAGTCTTGCGGAACCTGTCCCTCACGCCAGCAGAGTGTTATTAGCTGATGAATGTGTAGGGTTAGAATGTCTTTCCCCTTGGCAAAAGGAATCCCATTTCTGCCTGGGGCCTTCCCCGAAGCAAGTTTAACAAAAGCCTGGCTAACTCCTACAACTGTAGGAAATCTGTCCAGATAGTCCAGAGTTGGCAGTGTCGTTATGACATACGATAGACCTTTATTTCATAGACCACTCGGCACTCCACTCAGTGGGATATGTCGTCAACATCACACCGACTGCCTTTACTTCCCAGGACTTTATCTGGTACCCATTTAAGGCTGAGTCGACCTGCAAACCAAGGTTATTTTGGAAAAATTTAGGGGCTCCGTTTGGGTTTCAACCCACGATCTTCGGATTCACAGGCGAGCATCTAGCCGCTAAACAACGGCGGCTCCCGTGTAATGATAA